GCAGATGGCAATTTGAAAATATATACAGGTACATTCCCAGAATCATGTAAGAATGCTGCTCAGAAAAATCACTTTAGGACCCGTAATGATCACAAAAAATCCATGCCATGTAGCCGGAGATGTGAGAATGTTTACGGCTGTTTATCAACCAGCATTGGCACATCTCTTCGATGTGGTTGTGTTTCCCAGACATGGACCCCGCCCACATCCGGACGAGATGGCTGGTAACTGAATCCTATGCTACTTCCAAAGTAAAGTGAAGATCTTTTTTAGGTAGCGACCTAGATGGTGATGAGTATTCCGTGATATTCGATCCAGATATCCACTTCGACCATAATGAAGAGGCAATGACGTTCCCGAAAAGCACCCCGGATGACTTTGAATCAGTTCCAACGGCAAGTAGTTCTGTTCTGTAGACACAAATGTGCATCTGGGTTTCTTTCATAAAAACTGATCAGAGGATCTTGAATAAGCCATTCCCAAACGGCACCTCATGTGAATTGTTCATTTCAGAGAAATTTTATTCTGAACTCTTACCCAGTACCGTATGAGCATGCTGGTTTACGGTACTGGGCGAGAGTTCACAATTGAGTTTCTCGTCCACTATTCATTTATATGGGCCGCCGCTTGAGCAATGGCTTACCGCAAGCGATCCCAGTTGGTTATTGGTTTAGTCCAAATACGCCAATATGCTTGTACTCTGCCTCTAGTTGATATGACTGGCTGTAGAGGCTTGTTCAGACTGACGATATGGTCGACTTTTTCCTGAAATATCTAAGACAGGACTCTATTGGCAGAATGAGCAATGCACACTTGATTCTTGCAGATCGAAAAGGATTGTTTGAGTGAGCAATTTTGAGCCGATTGTGGGAATCCACTGATTTGGACATCTTCAGTGAAGTCTGCAATGGAATAGCTCGAAAATGTGCTATTGCTGTTGATTTCCCAAAAAGTGGGGAACCGGCTGAGCCATTGACAGTTCATGAGCAAAGCGATATTGTGCCAGATTACATGTTCTCGGTGGTGAAGCCAATGTACCGAAGTCCACGCCTCAACGGACAAATTTACAGGTAAAGGAAGGGGGGCGGACAACAAATAAGA